GACAGTTTGAAAGATGACAAATAGAAAGCTAGATAACATCATAATATCTTTTTGAGGTGAAAATTGGTGTTCCTAATTGTTAGGCATCTTCTTATACAAAAATACAATTTCTTGACTTATTCCACACCTCATTACATAAATACAATTTCTTGACTTATTCCACACCTTATTAAAGACAATGGATACTGTTACGATCATTAATAGTGCTAGATGTTATGATCAAACTTGATGCCAAGAAGTCATGTTGAAGCACAATCAATGGTCGTAATTGCCGAGGATTCAGAAATCGTCAGTTGATAAGATGATCATCTAGAAGCTGTTAGTTGATAAGAGGATCATCTAGAAGTTGCTAGTTGATAAGAGGATCATCTAGAAGTTGCCAGTTGATAAGAGGATCATCTAGAAGTTACTAGTTGACAAGACGAAGTATATTATTATGTATTCAATGAAATACCTTCTCTTCGTCTAAAATAAATACTTTAATTCAGAACTTGAAAAAGCTATTCACAAATAATTACAATAGTTAAATGTACTTGAATAGAATAACTGATCTTCACAATAATATAATTGAGTTCTAACACTAGACTCTAGTACATGTTATCTCTAACACGTTCCACACAAGACTGCCGCAATCTAGAATCCTTCCCGGGCTCTAGAGCGTTATCACGTGACCAACATCTCTCCGCTGCAAGGCCAACCAATAAATGCAGCTTAAAGTACAATAACTAATACTTAAACCAATCATATTTATTTCAAAACATAATCCTGCTGCGTGATATAAAATTCCCCAGCTAACTAAAATTCTGCCAACAAGCTAAATATAGATACAGTGTACGTGACAGATACTTATTCAAAACCTCATTAAAGGCAAAGGATAGCTGACAGAAAACTTTGTTAGACTGTCTGTAGTATGTACTAAAGCAGTTACCCTTGGTCTAGTCTAGTTCTAGTTATAAAGGCTTATAACAGGCATCTACTACATTGAAAAAAAAGTGTTTTTAATTATGTAACAATTTATTATTTTATTATACTATTTTGTTTCATATTAATTAATAGGCCAAATCCATTCCTGAATTACCAATGATTCTCTTTGGAGCTGTGTCCATTGTTGGTGCTATACTTGTGATGATAATGCCAGAAACTCACAGAAGACCTTTGCCGGTTTTTATTGAAGATCTTGAATCTCTAGATAAGCGCAATGCAAAAGAGCATATTGAATTATAAGTTGTTTTCTTTGTTATTTGATTTTTTATGTTTAATTTTTGAAATGTTCAATTGTTGTTTAATGTTATTTATGGTTTTCAAACATACTTTTTTTATGTTGAGAAGATAAACTTACAGCTTCCCCTCCTTTTTTTTTAAAATTATTAAACCTATTATAATTATGAGATAACCAAAGAAAAATGTTTTAAGTTATTTTATTAATATCAAAAGACTTATGGAAAAAGTAGTAGTGGTGTTGCATTATTTATTGTTCTAAGACTTTCTTTTTCTTAAAAATATATTAACGATTCTGCATGCTCTAACTATTTTACTTAGCTGATTTACTTTTAATAAAAATTGTATACCGAAATAATATTCTGCTTTTATTTTAGTTTACATTTGTTAGCGTTTACCACTTTTTTTTTTTTTTTTAAGAAATCTAGTCCCAATTCTTAGTAACATACAGAATTATACTAATAAACAATGTTCTTTATATTTTTTTTAAAAAAATGATCCCTGAAAAACTATTTGACTTTTAGATGATACTTTTCCAAAAATTATACATATTTAAAAGAAAAACACATGTGATACTTACCATATACAAAGCGTACCATTATGCTATATATTTTGTTTTATCATATTTATTGTTAAGTGTTTGTAAACCTGCATATATTTTTTAATGTTTTACAAAGTGGGAATCTCTTAATATCCTTTTGTTGTTATTTGTTGTTTATTTACAGAATTAGGTTTAATTAATAAATTATATCAGACTAGTCGACCGGCGGCATAGCATACGCCGCTATTTTGCAGGGTTATTACCTTAGGCCACTGCAACCTATGCGACCGCATTGGGCCCCGAACTTTTATAGGACCCGCGCTAATATTAGGTGTTTAAATTATTAAATTAAACCATTGTATTACTTATAACAGATTTCCTGCGGCGTCCTGTCGATCTCCTGAAATTGAAAAATATACGAAAACATCCTGGAAATATCTGGAAATTATTAAAATCTTTTGAAAACTCATACAAATCTCATGTAATATATAGATGGAAATTGTCATTTTGGGGTGTCATTCAATATGGAAAACTCCATTCCTACGCGCGATAAAAAAAAACGGCATTATGCCATACCCGCAATTGTGGAATCTAATGAAACATTTGGTAATTCTTGCTATTGAGCGTGATCTATGTAGGAAATATAATTTTTATGATATAATGTATGACTTCACTACACGCAAGGCTCGTAAAGTAATTCTATACATAGTAAAGAATGAATAAAATGCAAATACAAATTTATTTTCTAATACAAACTCTTCATTTTCACTTATTATCAGTATCCCTACCCAAACTTGGCCCCGCGAAATCCGTTTCGCATAGGGTTAATGGTTAAGTCCGGTTCTGCTATCTAGTGACGGATGAATACTACTCTCCCCCCCCCCCCCTCTTTTTTTCGCCTCTTACATTACCTAGGATAACTCCCTCTGTCCGACTTGCAAAAATAAAAGAGTGATCTTTCCATGGTGTCCAAACTCTTGAGCGTGCTCTGTGTCGCCTTGATAGTTACTACAGAGTAGATTGCTCCCCCCCCTTTTTTTTTTATAATGTCTTGGTTACAACGGTCCGGCCCTGCTATTTTGTGACTTTGTGTGCCCGCCCCCCTCCCCCCCCTCTTGTTTTCTTGTGGATTATCCACAGAAATAAGAGTGATCTTTCCTTTACTTCTTCTTCTTGTTTAAACTGTTGAGGGAAGAAGAGAATTATATATAGAGATATTTATAGACATAATGAATCAGATGATTTTGTGTCTTGAATAACATACAGTCTTGAAACCAGGCACAATTTATGAACAAATCACATAGAAGAAATAGTGAATCTCTTAGTGTTTGAATGTTTTTGTTCATTTGATCTGAGGTTTTATACATTAGGTATTTTGGAATAGTTTTCATTTTGTATCATAGAGAGTGATACAATTTATTTAAGGCCTAACATGTTGATATTATTATTTGTTAATACATAATTTATTTTAGTTATTTTTTTCCTTTTAAAATTATATATAAGTCAAGGAGTCTAAGAAAATTAGTATTTAATGTAATTAGATTTTCTTTAGTTTTTTGGGGTTTTGTTTGTTTGTTTTTTTGCTTCACCTCCTTAACAATGTAGGTAGATCCTTTTTTCACTTGACTACATATAAAGGTGTATGCTCATTTACTTATTTTCCCGTTCTCACTCCAAACCTAGAAAATTGTGTTTGTGCCACAGAATAACTTTTTTTACTCCTACTATACAGGTTTTTTTTTTTTTTTATTTGCTTTTGCTTTACGAGTTTATAAGACTTAACATTTCACAAGCAAGGCTTTTTTTTTCTGTGTTTATGATTAGACTGAATTACTTTAACTTTTTAAATCAGTATCTCACATTTTTTTTTGTGCTGTGAATCAAGTTGGCTATTTGAAATAATTTTGTGTTCAAGTTACATTATTATGAAATTTTATGAGACACTTTAGCTCTACCATTAACTCAAAGAGTCACATTAAACCATTTTTTTATGCTATCAAGGGCAGCTATGCTAATTAGTTAACAGCATTGTAATTCTATTGGTCCTAGTGTTCTTAGTTTGTCTGCAATAGCTGAATGATCAGTTTATCAAACAATGATAATTATCCACATGGGAGATATAATCTAGTCCTTGTCTGTCTGAAATGTAACCAGATAATTTATCCATATTTTTGACAGACATTGTTGCCATTGTGTAGGCTTTCATTTTAGGTTTTATTGCTATTTAATGTGAATTGAAATTGCCTCATTCTACATATGTATTGATATTTTAATTATGGATTCTGTAAATCATACTGGTCATAATAAAATACAAATTAGCTTACAGTTTAAGTTGTTATATCATAGATAACTTTAATACATTTTTTAAAATGTCATGATTTTTTTATGACTTCTTAAAATGTTTTGATCTCAATAAACTGTGTATTTATGATGAAATTAATATACTAACTATATTGATAAATTTTAAAAACATTTCACATTTTATTCCAGATTATTGACATTTTATAGAATTACACCAGTAGTTTGACATATGTTTTAAATGTAACATTTTTTAAACAATTTTACATTTAATTTATAAAAAAGTTTAACAACATACATTTTTATATGCAAATGTTTTGTTTTCTTTTGGCTCATTAATGCTAGCAGTACATAGCATATATTTATTACATGCACAAATATCACCATTTATATGCAAACAGCATTATATTGATTTATACATATATTTCAAGTTTACATTTAAAACAATTTTAAGTTCACAGTGGATCAAGCATATTTGTTTGTGTGATATTTGTTGGCTTATGCTTAGATCAAATCTAAACATAAAAATCTTTAGCATGACCATATCAATATTGACATTATTCCAATGGTCTTAAAATGTTGTTCCATCCAAGGATAATTTGTCATGGCAAGTGTTACCAGCCTTGTTGGTAGTTAGCCAACTAATTTAAATTTTGTGTGTGTGTACATTGCATTGTGTGCAAGGAAAGAGTTTCTGAACATTTTAGAGAGAGTATTAAGACCTTAGGTTGAATAACTTAAGAGTATCTACTATCAGACTAGAAGCAAAGTTCCCCCCAAAGATAAAGGCCTCTACAATATTTTCTTAGTCTAGTCTTGCTAATGAACCAAGTAGACAATGTTATTTACCTCCCCTTTCTTTTGCTAGTCCTTACAAGTTTATAGAACTTTATATACAGGATTTTTTCAATGTTCATTAAAATTAAAATCAAATGTGCACACACAAAAAAAAAAAAACACCCATATTGAGGACTCATTGTTGATAATCTTGAATGCAGCTCATTAATCAATGCAAACTTTATTATTATATTAATTAAATAACAAATTCAACAATTTTAATTTAAAGATAGACCTTATGATGTGACTGTATAATGTTTTTGCAAACAAGTTACAATGTTTATTGTATATATAACAGTGTTAGACAACATTGGAGGTTAAGAAATCTTTTTTTGTTCTTTTAATTTTCTGCTGTGCTTGCATTATTTGCCTTTAAGACTTGCCTTATGTTGAAATCCTCAGCCATGACTCATGACTGTGAATACATTTTTAAATTGGGAATTAAAATTTTGATAAATTGTGCTTAAATTGTTTCACCTTTGTTAATCAGTAAATACTACTCAGTTTTTTCTAGTGCTTGTTGAACATATTCCATCACATCAGCAAGCAGCAACAGAAAAGCCTCACAAAAAAAAAAAAAGCTTTTATGAAATGTAAAAAGTAAAGTTCCCCTTTCAGACCTTGTGATCTACAGGGAAGATGGTGTAAAGGTCCATCTGTTTCTGTGGCCTACGGTTAACAAAGGTGTCTTGTGGCCAACACAATGACCAACCCAATTTTCTTTTCCACAACTAATGTCAGGTACCCATTTAAAAGGAAAATAAATCGGCAACAAATCTATTAAAGATTACCATCGTATGTCCATGATAGAGAGCAAACATCTTTGATGAAAGCGTTCAAGTAGTCTTAGTTGCTTTCTGTACAGTGCCCATGTCTCAGATCCATATAGAACGGTTGAGAGAAACACAGTGGACATTGATTTTTGTAGGCAGGCGGAGCTATTTATTCCGCCAAACTCTCGCCTGAAGGCGTCCAAATGGTACAGGTACCGCTACTGACCCTGGCAAGACGGTTATCAACTACCCTTGAAAGTGAGGTGTCATTTAATTGATACTTCCCTGTTATGTGAAATGGTCTACCACGTTAAGGGGCTGTCTGTTTACGGTGATCTTTGAAGCTGAGTAGGTTTTATTGGGTGATAAAGATTAAATAGGAATACACATAACACCTAAACAACCCTCCCCATATACATAGACCTATATATACAGCGCTTTAAAAAAAATAGGTGTCGGTTTTCAGTGATTAGATGCCGGTACTCAGTGATGAATTGCCTAACTTTACTAATATATTAATACTAAACGTTAAAATACAAGACAAGTAATAATTTTTTTCCCACATTGAAAAAGGTGCCGGTACGCCGTACCGATGCGTACGTCACAAAAAAGTCCTGTATAGGTTTAGGCATATATATATATATATATATATAGGGGGGGGGAATGCATGCATCGCCCCCTGAAACACTGGCTATGTTGAAGTCGTGTTAATTTTATGTTGATTCTATATTTTTGGGGGGTAAAGTAATTTCATCTCCTTTTTTTTTTAATTGATAATAGAACTCCATGATTAGCCTATCTGTCCTATCTTTTTTTTTGTGTTCTCATAGTCCTATTGATTTTTCTGCATTATACATTTTAAGATGTAGCCTTGGCAAGTTTCTATTATGTCTGGCTTCTCACTTTCTAATAAGATTTCTAAGTCTGCTGATTTGTTCCTAATACTTTGAAGGTTTATTACTAGGGTTTTGAGGTATCTGTGGCATTTTACGTCTCGAGAGACGATCTTTTCCCTTTGCAACTTCTTGTGTGACTAAAGAGGCCAATCCTTGATACACAGCTGCGATCGCAGGTTGGGCATATATAATCACCAGGTGCCGTTGCATTTTCCCCTTTCTTTCTGCTTCTGTTGTGTATGACATCTGCAATCTTTGACCCTTCCTTTATGCTCTCTCTCCATGAGGATCTGTCCAGTGCTACCTCTTCCCAGTTGCCAGTGTCGATTTTGAAGAGCTTCATGTCGCGTTTGCATACATCCGTATAACGTAATAGTGGTCGACTAGCGGCTCTCCTGCCTTCTATTAGATCGCCATACAGGATGTCCTGTGGAAGTCGACCTTCTGGCATTCTACGAACGTGGCCAAGCCAGCCAAGGCGTCTGCTGCTGATAACAGAGCGGATGTCCTGGCACCCTGCTCTTTGTAGCACTTCCTCATTGGTTATCTTATCTTGCCACCTTATTTTAAAGATCCGCCTTAGGCATCGGAGGTGGAAAACATTCAGCTTTTTTTCCTGCCATGAGTAGGTTGACCATGTTTCACTTCCGTACAGCAAGGTGCTCAACACACAGGTCCGGTAGACTAGGGCTTTAGTACTGTACGTTGTCCCAGACTCTTTTCTGCAGCCGTGACATGGTGGCCATTGCCTTGGCTATCCTGTTGTTTATGTCTTTATCCAGTAGAGTGTTGTTGGATATGATGGAGCCAAGGTAACAAAAGTGATCAACAATTTCAAGTGGTTGGCCATTAATGCTTACTTGAGGTGCATTGTTTGTGTTTTGGACAAGTATCTTAGTCTTGCTTTGACTGATGTTTAAGCCGAACTTTTGGCAAGCAGCAGATAATTTGTCAACCAGGCACTGTAACTGAATATCCGAATTAGCCACAATAGCTGCATCATCAGCATACAGGAGTTCCCTGACGAGTAGCTTCCTAACCTTGGTTTTTGCCCGCAGCCTTGATACATTAAATAGTTTTCCAGAGGATCTTGTATGGAGAAACACGCCTTCGTTTATGTCGTTGCACGCATAATGCAGTAGACAGGAGAAGAATATGCCAAACAGAGTAGGTGCGAGCACACATCCCTGCTTGACACCAATGCAAACCTCAAAAGGTGCTGATTGGGCTCCATTGAATTTGACAGTGCATTTAGTTTCCTCGTGAAAACACTCAATGAACTGCAGTAGTTTGGGAGGGCAACCTATTTTCCTCAGGAGTTTGAAAAGGCCACTTCTGCTGACCATGTCAAAAGCTTTAGTCAGATCAACAAAAACGATGTAAAGGGGTCTGTCTCTCTCTCTGAATTTCTCCTGCAGTAGTCGTAGAGAAGATATCATGTCTACAGTGGAGGTATATGCTACTTTAATAGGTATTACCGCTTTAGTAGGTTTATTTAATGAGGGTGTGTATTAGTTTTAGTAGATTTAACAGGAATGGATCTGGCTAGTGGTCGGAGAGCTTGATTTGAGATGGTGGTTAAGATGTATGGGTTAGAAGTTTCTGCATCAAAGGAGTCAAACAGTTCTGAGTTTATATTATTGTATAGATTAGGACATGGTCATGGACGATTTTTTTCTACTTTAAATTCCAACCATATTTAGATCTAAGTCGACTAAGTAGGCCTACATTATATTTAGAAGTCAGCCAAAAAGATAAAACATACCCACATTTTTCCAAAATATCCTGTAATTTGAAGATTTGATTAACATTAAAAATCATTGATATAAATAGATCTATACGAGGCAATGAGGCTACCCGCTAATGATTGATTGTAATTAGTTTTACACCTTAGTCTATATTTTAGCTATTTTTTAAGCCGAAAAATCAAAGGTCAAAGTTGGCATTTGGACCACAATCGAGTTGTTTAGGCAGTATGCTAGTTTAGCAGTTAAAGTACTAATATAAAGATCTAGGTCTACTATTATATTTATTCTGTAGGACTAGATCTAGGTCATCTTGTTCCCATTAATCAATCTAGTCAAGAATCACATCGTTATAATTTGGGTACAAGGGTCCATTAGATAGATCTGGATTCTAAATCAGAGTGAGTTGAATCTTTTAATTTAAAATAAACTCTGAGACATAAATAATATAATAAGAATGTAAATTAAAATGTAATGTAAATCAAGTAAATGTACATAATTATGATTATCATTTTTAATCTTCTCCCGCCAAACCTGGCTGAGGCATGTTCATCAAGTTCATGTCATTCATGAACTCATGTCTTGATGTTGAACCTTGTTCATATTCTTCATCAACTTCATGCCATCCCCATGATCACCCCCCCCCCCCCAACCGAATAGATAGAATCTAGATCTAGATTTCTAAACAGAAAAATTTTAAGCAATAGATGTCTCACTGCCATTGGCAGCATATATTATATTGACATTGATATAAAAAATAATGATAATCATGCCATGATTATAAATTTATATTATTAAATACTATTATTTATAGATCTAATAATCTAATAATAATTATAGTGCACAAGGACAAGTCACAAGTATATTTAAATAGATAGACTGATAGCAGATATAGATCTGTCACTAGAGCTATCTACTATTCTAGACTTGACTTCAAGTAGCTGATGCCAATCCAACACCTTCAATCCTTCATGTTAAGATACTTATCAAACACCCCACTGTATTTTTTTTAAATTTCAAAATTCACCTTTATTAAGATGATATTGCCTATGGCGAAACTATTGATAGGCCATAGTCCATTCTTATTGTGCATCATCCATTTCTTTATAGTTTAGACATAGATCTAGATACTGTCTATAGTTTCATTTACACCAGAAGACAATTTTTCTACTTGGATTCAAAGTGAATTGGTATAATGTCACTTTTGTATATCTCTTGACTCTTGGAAAGGATGAAGTAGGTCACGGGTTAAGGTTTTTTTTTTTTTTCTTTGCCAATGATGCCTCAGCTTAACAAAACCTATATTATGCTTCTAATTAGGCAGGGAAGTATGTAAAAGTGCAATTAATTGCCTAATAGAATCTGTCCCTTGCTACCCAAACAATAAAGTAAAAAAAAGTAAAGTTCCCCTTTCAGGCCTTGTGGTCTATTGGGCAGATAATGTAATAAAGGTAATCTGTTTCTGTGGCTTACGGTTAACAAGGGTGTCCTGTGGTCAGCACAATGACCAACTGCCTTTACTTCTCCCCAACTAATGTCAGGTACCTATTAGAGCTGGGTGGACTTGTTTTTGTTTCTGTTGTTCAGAGAGACGCACTGTCTGTGTCACGGCTTTACATTCCTTATCTTGATTCGTTGGTTTCTTCATTAACGTCTCACTTTTCGAGCAATAATAACAATAATAATGATATGTTTTGCCTGCATCCAATAACGATGCAAGAGCTGGAATGTGATGAATTCAGAAGTCTACTTACTGTCAGCAGTCCACCTTATGGTATTGACAATTTTGACTGCGATGATGAACTGGTTAGACTACTGGCCTTCATTATGACAAGCTGCAGAATTTGTCACTTTGGACTCTGCTGAGTTGAATCACTATGATTTCTTTCATGCTGTTTTAGATAAAAGTAATTCTGATCATGCTAACTTTATCGGCCACTATGTTAAGCATTGAATGATCTTTCAGCACCCTACAACAAATCAAAATTTGCTTGCAGCCAACAAAGACTGATGAAAGACTCAGCACTGTGTACAATAAGCATTAATCG